CAACAAAAATTGGGGTCTGTATTCTAAGAGCAATAAGAAACCACAGCGAGGTTTCAAGCAGTGACATGATGTAATCTGATGTTCTTTTATAGGAGGTCACTTTATCTGTTGGTTGGAACACTGGATGAGTAGTGGGAGCAGTTAGGAGCCCGTGGCAGTGGCCCTGCAGAGAGGTAAGCGTGGCCCGCACCTGGGTGGTACTGGTAGGGATGGACAGAAGTTTAGGAGGGGCAATCAATTGGACACGATTTAGGACATAGTTGGATAGGCGGAGAGATGGAAGAGTTGATGGACAGATAGGTGAGTGGATAGATAGATGGATGGATGGATGGATTTGTGGATGAGTGGATGGATGTGTGGGTGAATGGAGGAGTGAGTGGGTGGGTAGGTAGGTAGGTGGGCAACGGACAGACTGGATGGAAGAAGGTGAGTGGGTGAATGGGTGGGTGGGTGGATGTGTGGGTGAAGAGGAGGTGAGAGAATAAGTGGGTGGTTGAGCGGGTAGATGGATGGATGAACACCCTCAAGAGGACTCTCTACTCTTGTTATTATTGTCCAGAAAGTGCAGATGAATCACACTAGTCAATAAGCATGCAGTCTTTCTCCTGAGACATCTGTGTTTATAATCCCATAGCTCCCTAGTGCCCCAAGGAGAAAAACTAGTTACTACAATGCCCGTTAGGGAGCAGACACTTACAAATAGGCTGGTTTAATGAGATGCAAGGATCCCCCAATCCTTTGGGCATTACAGTGAAAGTACTAGTGATACCCAAGTGAATGGAGGATGAGGTGGGAAGCGAAAAACTTTCCAGAACTACCCGCTTGGAAGCCATCAGTCCTTTCTCCTCCCCATCAACACCACCACCTAGACCATCAACACTCTCACCTCCTCCAGTATCTCCACCGTTATCACTCCATCACCATACAAATGTGTTGAGACTCTGATTGCAAATGATGCTCACTCAGGTAAAAGGCATGGGTTGCAGGCTCCCCTCGGGTGGGAGAGGATGACTTGCTTCTTGCACAAGACCTCAGCACATCCCAGTGGTAGCTGATTTTAATCCTCATGGGTCCAGCCCCCACTTACAGGCTCTCTGCCCCCATGACCCATTCCTATATCTCATAGTGGGAGGATCAAGAAGGCAGGAGAGCAGCGATTTTTAGGGGAAAAAAGGGCTGAAATTCTGCCGTGAGAAACCCCGGGTAATCCTGAGCTGGCTCAGGTGTCCCAAACCCCAGTTCACATGCATTCATTCCCTAGACCTCGAAACTGGCTAATTTCTCTCCCTGTGGGAGTCTGACAGCTCAGCCTCCAGAGCTTTTCTCTCCTCTCCACAGGCAGAGTTCGTGCTATTTGGGTAAATAACATTTCTCGTGGTTGTCAGATGTTTACCCGGTGGGGTTTACCTGGTGGTGGGACTGAGCTATCCCTTCCCATCCGCCCCACCATGGGTGCCAGGATTCTGGGTGGGAGCCAGCATCCTACAACACTCAGAGATGGGGGACCCAGCACTGGTGAGTGGGCAATGATTTCACACCAACTACTGGGAAAGTCACATTCACTATTTCACTCGGGACTTGGACATCTGGGAACAAGCTAAAGTCACCATGCCCAGAGCTGATTTCATGCCTTATCCTATACCCTGCATCCAAGCTAAAATGTAGTCATTGGATCTCTAGCAGCCATGAGCAGATACTTTATACTTTAAAACACTGCATGCTCTGAATTCCCGCTTAAGCCTTAAGCCAGTAGGCCGCATTGACGTTCCCTCCCTCGGGCTGTGAGGAAAGGCAATCAGTCAGTCGCTGGGACTATGGGGCAATGCAGTCAGGGGGTTGGTGCCCAGCTCAGGAATGCTGCAGTTGTCTTTCTGCAGGCAGCTCTAACCCGACGCAATCACCGGCCGAGCCATCCCACCCTGCAGCTGCTGGAAGCCAAGAGTCTGAGGCAGGGCACAGCTGTGCCAGCTGTCGGAGACAGATTACTCTACGGAGCTGGGCCGTGACTCACATTCCAGTACAGGGGAAACACGCAAAACTTAGACACCGTCTTTGGGGTGCCAAAAATCATCTTGGTTTTGTCTTGCAAGATGTTCAGCTTGCAGAGTGTGGGGCAGACGGAGGAACGGGGCGGGGAGGAGGCGAGCAAGGGGAGTAGATCTGTCTGCAGTTGACTCTGCCTGTCACACACCCTCATCGCTCTAATAACAACACTCAGCATTTAATCAGCCCCTTTGCAGAAGCAGACGATGTCATGCTCATTAATTAGTTAATCCACACAGCCCCTCTGGAAGGAGGAGCCATGTTATTATCCCCACTGGGACCCAGAGGGAAACTGAGGCCAGGGTGGGAATTTGGCATCGAGCTGAGGGAACACAGCTCGGCAGCTGGACCGGGACCAATCTCTGGCTCGTCGCCCATCCTGGAGCCCTCAGTCTTGTCCTCCTCCGTGACTCCAGTCTGCTCACAGCTCTGGTGGCCGTCTACAAAGACACCTGGCCAGACTCTGTCAGAACCGGGGCTGACGGCTTTCACAGGAAGGGCAGATGGAATGATGGAGTGGAGAGGGAGCAGCCTGGTGACTGGACCAGGTAAGGGCCCCAGGGAACATGTGTTCCGAACCCGACGTCTGGTAGGGTACGTTCCTTCCAAAGGGTCTCAGAACTAGGGGTGGACGCGGTAATGTGAGTTTCACCAGCGTCAAAATGTCTGCTGTCTGCCTCCCGTTCAGGCAATTCTTGAGTTTCGATTGTCTGGTGGTTTCAGAACTAAAGGGAGGGACGTTTCCACCAGGGGGCACAATAACGGTTCCGCTGAGTTGGAGACTGGGACTGCCACCTGGCCACTTGGGGACACTCATCTCACACACACACAGACACACGCATAAGAGCGATACGGGCGCGCAGGGTCCCCATGGAGTACCTCCTACGCCCTCATGCCCTACGGTAAAGGCAGACTGTTGTGATGCTTTACAGTTAGGATCACCAATAGCTCAGGGCCTCGAGGATGGACCCTGGAGGAGGAAATGGCAACCCATGCCAGTGTTCTTGCTTGGAGAATCCCGTGGACAGAGGAGCCTGGTGGGCTGCAGTCCATGGGGTTGCAAAGAGCCGGACACAACTGAGAGACTAACACACAACTTCAAGGATGGGGGCTCGGGTCAGTCCACCAGGAAAATGAGATGCAGGCAGGAGTTAGAGGAAGGAAGTCATAAACGCCTTTTAGGACTTTGCAAACAGTTGCAAAAATAAAGACTGCAGCCACTATCTTGTTGGTTACTGGAGTTGCTGAAGATTAAATAAATCAGCCCTCCTGCTTTTCTTTTTAAACAGCAACGATCACCATTAAAACACATTTTTCATGTATTTTCTTCTCCTTTCCATCTGTATTTGGAACAGCAGTGCTTCTCAAATGGTGATGTGCACACGTAACACTGAGGGATCATGCCAACCTGCTGAGACGTGGGGGCCTGAGATTCTGCATTTCTCACAAGCACCCTCCTCCCCATGGTGCTGCTGCCACCCTATGAGCATCAAGAATTCAGAGGACATGGTGGTGGTAGTTAAGTACCCTTTAACTCAATTGTTAGGTGCTCAGATGGGATCACCGTAACCTTGAGGAGAAACGGACATGGACAGCACTTTGAAGATCTTGAACCTGGATATTCATCATGACATCAAGTCTGGAGGTAGCTGACCAGGGAATACTGGAACACAATATTGTTTGGTGAAGATGACTCTGAATGAATGGGAGGAGGTTGTGTGTGTGTGTGTGTGTGTGTGTGTGTGTGTGTGTGTGCATACATGTGTGAATTTGTATACACTGGGCAGCTAAGGGGGTGGAATGTAGCTGCTATGATTGACCATGGCCCAAGCTGGACCAACAAAACTTTTTCTTTTGGGAATCTAGAACTTTGAACCAAGGGAACGTTTAATTTGGCAGTTTTGATTCTGATTCATTGCAGTGATCTAGACAGAAGGTCCCTGAATTGCTATGCTACAATCAGTCCTTAAATCCTCCCTGATACCCTGCTCTTCCTGAGGCTGGGAAGGTCCACCTCTTTCTTGAATCCCCTAAGGTATCCAATCCAGTATTTGTCCTCCCTGCCTCCATTTTTCTTTTTTTAAAGCAAACTGGAGTTTGCCTTCAAAATAACCATGGATAATACAGAACTCCTTCCAGAAGTAGCTCCCACATGCTTCAACAGAGAGGAAGGCTGCCCTGGACTCAGTCTCACTTTAAAGCAAAAGTTCAGAAAATTTTCGGGAGGGTGATCTACCTCAGTTCCCCTTCACATAACTCCCACTTACACCAAACTGCTGTGGGTCACCCTGTTTCCTTGGGATGACAACAGGGCCCCCGACAACACTTTAGAGACACGCCTCTCGCTGAAATATGCGGCTCCCCTCTTTGCTCTGAATTCTACTTCAGCTTTGAGACCCAGCTGGGTCCTCTTGGCCTCCAGACCCAACTCCCTCCCCCAGGGCTTGCTTAAGGGTCCATCTAAGAGCTCCACCGCCCGCCGTCTCCGCTGAGCGCCTACACCGCAAGTACCCTGTACTGTGATGGTCTAGTACCCCTGAGATCCAACTCCTGGGGGTCTGGGCCTGGGTTCTGCTCATCTTTGTGCCCGCTCACTCCCCCAGCTTAGCTGGAGGCAGGGGGACAGTGGCGCTGTTGAGGGAATGAATGGATGCGTGTGAAGCAGAAGAGGAAGGGCAATTTTCTTCATTTGCCAGGAATTCAAAATTGACCAAGCGCCCTTTTGGAAGCCAGGCGCTATGCTGGGCCCCAGCGGGGTGGACGGCGAGAGGACACAGATGGTGAAGATGCGCTCTGACCGCCCCCCATCCCCCTTACTCCAAGGAGCGCTCTGCACCAGGAGGAGGTGGAATCCAGCTCCCTCTTTACTCCCCCCAAATGAACTAGTTCTCCAGTGATCCTACACGCTTTTTTTTCCCCCCTCTCCCACGCTAAACCCGGTCACGCGGGGCCTGCAGGAGGGGGACCCAGGCGGCTCCCTTCCCCGCATGCCGCGTGGCGGGTCGTGCCCCTCCCGGCCGCCCACGGAGCCCCAGCAGCGGCAGAAGCCCGGCGCCCACCGCCCCCACGCGCCGGGCCCCAGCCGGCGAAAGACTCCGCTCCCTCGGGCCTCGGCGCCACTCCCCTCCCTGGCACCAGGGGGCGCTGCCACCCCACGGCCGTCGCCATGGTCACCGCTGGCGGCGGAGTGGGGTTTACGTAAAGGACGCAGCGTCCCCCGGGGGGCGGAGGCGGCCTTCGCGCCGGCGCCGGCGCCCTGCGGAAGCGGCGTTAGTGAATCGGGGCCTTGGGGAGCCCAGGATGGAGGTGGCGGTCGCGGTGGTGGCGGCGGGCCGAGCCCTGCGGCGGGCTGGAGGTAAAGGGGGACGCGGGTGCGGCGGGCCGGGCCCCGGGCTTGGGCGCGGTGAGAGCGGCGCGGCAGCTGGGCAGTGTCCAAGGCGCGCGATGGCCCGCCCGACGGGTCCGCAGGCGGAGGTGCGGCTGCCGCGCGCGCCCGTGACAGGTGTGGGATCCGTGGAGCCCCCGGCACCGATGTGGGAAGGGTGACACGCGTGGCGCGGGCGTGGGCAGTGTGGTTCTCCTGGCATGGGTGTCAGAAGGAGACTCACCCCCACCTTGGTGTGGTGGTGGCCGCCCAGGTGTGAGGCGGGCGCAGCCCTCTGTGCGGGCAGGTGATGGGCCCGGCCATCGGACTCCTGCTGGGGTGGCGGTGGCCAGCCGGTGGGCGCATGGTGGTGCCCCTGGCAGGGGTGTGAGGAAGTGCTCTCATTAGTAAGGTGTCCAATGGTTCTGGCCTTGAGATGGTCCGGAGTGATGGCACCCAGGGCTTGAAGAATGTGTGTCCTCAGCATGGCAGGAGTTCCTGGCTGTGACTGTGAGAAATGGCCCTGGCACAGCCTAGTGCTGGGGCAGCCTGGCCCTGCGAGGGGAGAATCCGTGGCCCTCAGACCCTGGTAGGCGGGCAGAGTGAATGCCTGTCCTCCCCCTCTGGGTATGAGGAGGGGTATTGCTTCTGGCACAGAGACCCACCTTTAACGTCTGCTGGGTGCACTGGGGGACTGAGGAATGCAGAAGTCTGGGAGAGGGTTGGTGTCCTTTATAATGGACATGGAAGAGAGCTACCAGGAGATGCTTCTACCTTGAAGACCCTGATGGTGACCCAGACGGAGACCTGTCCAGGCACTAGCCTCGTCCTGGGCTCATGAATTCATCCAGCTTTGGGGAAGAGGGGAGGGGTGGGTGGTTCTTAGCTCTGCTCCATATCTCTGAACATGTGTCCTGAGACATTTGCAGGGCTGGGAGGTGGGCCATGTCCGTGGGCAGGGGGAGGCGTAGGGCTCCAGCCATCTGTGGTTCCCGGGTCCTGCGTTTTCCTTGGGGTGATGGTGTCTGTGATGCTCAGAAGCCTTTGGGTCCAGAGGATCATTTGGGGCATGTTTGAAAGATGAGTCTGCAGCCACCAGGAGTGTGTTGGGGTTGTGTCTGCCCTCACCGATCCTTTGGGAAGCTCTGGGTGAGGGTCACACTCAGCATCACATATGCCCTACTTCACAAAGGGGCAATTTACAGACCCACCCCCCACCCCACCCCCAGAGAAGTCTTAGGATGTGGGAGGAAATTGTTAGGTCTTCGTGGATCTTTTGGGGAAGTAGAATTGCAAGAGAAGAATAAATGAGGCTGGGCCTTTAGGAGTCCAGAAAGACCAGGCTGAGGGTATAGGAGACTAGGGTGGGGCTGGCAACTCATTTGCCCAAGTGGGTGCTTGGAGATGCTGCTGAGGTTCCTCAAAGTTGGAGTATTGTCCGGTGCCTTTGGGGCCAGAAGACTTGAATTCCAGTCTCACCGGTGTGACCTTGAGCAGGTGACTTTACCTCTCACAGCCACATCGGAAGGTGGTCGCAGAGGATGAAAGATGGTGCCTGCAGAAACCCTTTGTGAAGACCTGTCCAGGGGTCAGGGATTATCCTCAGGTGAAGAGACCAGGGCCGGAGACCGAGGAGGTGGAAGCATGGAATGTGAGTGGGGAGGAAGGGCCTGTCGTAGGGAATTAGAGGCCCTGAGCGTAAAGGCTCCTGGTGGGGAAAGTGGGATCTGTTGACACTGTGAGTCAGCTGCTGAGCTGGAACCAGGCCCCAGGTTTCCCGAGGACGGTCCGAGCATGGCCGCAGCCACTGGAGAGCCCTGCAGGAGTGGCCTGAGCAGGAGAAAGCCCTTCACTGGGGCTGCAGACGTGCCTTTGGCCGTGCCGGGCTGGGAGGTATCTGTGGCTGGCAGATCTGGGGTACCCGGGTGGGAGCATGACTTGGATGTGTGTGTTTTCTCTTGAGATTTTACTTTGGTTCCCGGTTCAGAGGATGTGAGTGGGCGGCAGCCACATCTGTGTTTTGGGGGGCCATGGCCTAAAGAAAGCCAAGTGGGTCAGAATCACCAGGACATGGGGCGGGGTGGTCCTGTGATGGAGGTGGAAGCTAGATGGTAGGAGGCTGGGGCCCATGAGGAGTGTGGGGGGCAAGGAGAAGGGGTGAGGGACACCCTCAGAGTGGGCCTCTTGAGAGCGGACAGGTGTATCAGGAATCCCCCAGGACCCACTTCTGCCTGAAGGGCCGACCCAGGTGAAGAAGATGAGTGAGGGTGGCTGCCAGGGTCTTTACTTTACGCCACTGGGGCCCAGTTACTAATAATGGGCTGCAGAGTCTGAATTACATACCCCACGGCTCGAAAGCTTCACACTGGCAGGCCGGATTCCATGAACCCAGGCCCATTTCTCCAGCGTTCCACAGGAGTATCTGCCTTAGCCAGCAACCCATTTCACAAGCTTGGTCCCCAAGGTAGAAAGTTTTTGCCCTATGTCCACGCTGCGGTGTCACGGCACGAGGGGTGGAGGAGGATGCATCCTACCAGGCCCCGGATGGTGAGCTGACTTGTCCAGGCCAAGGACTGTGCCTTCCCAGGGGTCACCACCTGGACATTGCCTGGTGCTTCCTCGGCCACTTGTCCCCAGGTCATCCTTGGGGTGCCAGAGGCCTATTGTATGTGCTCCCCGCAGCCCCTTTTGCTGTCTCCCCAGGAGTTGCCAGCACTTCAGCTCCTGCTTGGAATGCTCTCCTAGTGAGAGTCCATTCAGAGGAAGCCTCAGGCCTCCCCACTGTGAATATTGAACGATCATGTCCCCTCAGCGCACCCTCCACACCTCTGCCTGTTTGTTCTGATTGGTGGCTCAGCCTTGTGGTTTGGGGATCCAGAAGCCCTTTGCAGCCACCCCTTGCCATCTGCCTGGGAGGCTGGGACTCTGCACAGGCGAGCTGGGTGGCAGGCGGGGGAGATGGGAGAAGCCAACCTGGGAGGACCCAGCCTCTGTTGGCCCGAAGCAGAGCAGGATTGTCTTCTGAGTCCTCAGGGTTTGAGGCCACCAGGAGGCCCTCCAGGTCACCACCACCCCTTGTCATGGTTTTGAGCAGATTCCAGCTGAGGGGAGGGAACTGGTAACACAGGAGTGGCCATCGAGGGCTCTCGGGAGCCAAGATTTTTTTCAACTCTGGTCCTCAGTCCTATTCCCCTTTCTTTGTCCATGTTTCTCCAAAAGTTGCTTAACTCAGCTCCTGGCAACCTTTCCACCTCAGCTGCCTCGTAAATCATGGTGCCCAGCTGCTCAGCAGCAGGGGTGCCAGGGGATCGGGCATCTCTGGACAGAGGCTTCTAGGCCACAGCTGAAGGCACGGACCCTCCCTGCATCCCCTCTCTCCAGGACCAGAGAGGGATCCCACTCAGGGTTTAATCACCTGTTGGCCCAGCACTCCATCTGAGTTCAGTTTCTCCCTGGAATTGCTTTGCCTTACACTCCAGCAGGGGCTTCCCTGGTGGCTCAGTTGGTCAAGAACCTGCCTGCCAATGTGGGGGACTGGGGTTTGATCCCTGGGTCAGGAAGATCCTCTGGAGAAGGGAAGGGCAATCCACTCCAGTGTTCTTGCCTGGAGAATTCCATGGACAGAGGAGCCTGGAGAGCTACAGTCCGTGGGGTCGCAAAAAGTCAGACACGACTGAGCAACTAACCACTTAAGCAGACCAGGCATGTGGCGCTGGGGAATTATCAATGTGGTCAGAGGACAATAAATCTAGCGCCGTGGAGCCTGGGACGTTGTGGGATGTGGTTACGTCCCAGCGGGCAGGGCTGAAGGCTGTTTATCTTGTCCTTTTTCCTTTCTGATTCCGACTTTGGCTGCACGGGATCTCTCTGGTGGATGGGGCAGTTGGTGTGCTGGTGAGGAGGATGCAGGAAACCATCCTCCCTGTGGGGTCCTCTTGGCCGCTGAGGGAGGGTTCCGGGGAGGTGATGTAGAGGGAGTGGTGTGGCCACCGTCACGGGCAGAAGTACCCCGATCCTCAGCAGGATCCTGGTGGAGATGGGCAGGGGTGGGGCCGTTCCCGCCACAGGGCTGCCGGGCGAGTGCACGTGTGCAGAGCCACATGTGCCCGTAAGCAAGTGTTTCTGTGGGAAGTGAGGGCTGAGCGGGAGGAGCGCCTGGTGGTGGGGGAGCCCGTGGGCTCCTGTGTCTGGCTGGCCTGGTGTCAGTGGGTGTGTGCGCTGGGGTGTTGCTGAGCCCCTTGAAGCAGGAGAAAACAGTGGGAGGCGGGGGGAGGGGTCGCCTTCCAGCTCAGGGAGGGGGAGCTTAACGTCTCGTTGTGATTCTTACCGGAGCAGCCTTTCTGCTTTCTCAGTATTCCTTAGAAGGAAGCCCAGGCTGGGGGGAGTGGTTCCAACACCCGTATGTGCTCACACAACGCCTGCTCCTGCCTCCTCCCCAAGCCCCCGGGGAAGTCAGCCAGGGACAGTCCACTCGGGTGACAGAAGAGAGCAGCACAGCCCATGGGCTTTAGGACTTGGGACTCTGGGGTCAAACAGACCCGAGTTTGAATCCTGGTGCCTCTCTACACCTCAGTTTCCCCATCTGTAAGATGGGGACAGTAAAACCTCCCAGGGGGAGCCGGGGTTATAAGGACCGCATGCCTGGTGAGTGGAGAGATCACAGTCGTGAGAAGTACCCTCACTAGGTGCTTCTGCTCCTGCAGTCAGGATCTTTCCCACAAAACAAGCAGCTTCGTCCTGATCTGCATGTATTAGCACCAGGGGGAGATGCAATAGGGCATGTCCCTTTTCTTGATGAGGAGAAATTAGCTCCACCCTACCCTCGGCATGGATGGAATCTGGCATATCTGTCAATAGAATCATACTCAAGATAACGTTGTGGTCCCTGGCGTATGTTCCCATTCCGCTGGAGCTGATAGTTATTTCTGGAGCACCTTCTGAGGGCTGGAGGTCAGTGAGGGCCATGAAGATGAAGTGGACACTCATGCGTG